AATTAATCAACCTGCTTAAACAAATAAATGAACTTCAACTTCAATCCTCACGCAACGTTCCCAGATGTACAATTATCAGCTAAAGTCTATTGGGGATTGAAACAGATGTCTAGATTCGCTCCGAATGGCTTATGTAACTGGCTGCCTACCAGGAGACTTCATGTCGAAAATGTTTTGTGCAGTAAATAACGACCATCAGAGCGCCCCTGGCGGAACTTTCGAAACGAAAAGTTGACATTTTGTAGTTTAAGGTTATCTGAAACTTGAGCAAACAGAAAAGGATGTCGACATGATTAGATTTGGCGGTGGCGTAATTGGTTTTATTCTCGTGGTAGTCAATCTTAGCTGACAAGAATGGATAATCTATTTGTAAAAAACAGAAAACAAAATTCGAAAACGATGATCTGAAACGAAACGTAAATTTACAAAGAATTAATTGATTTTGATTGTTCGGTGAATATTCGCGCCTTGACAAGTGTTTAGAGCTGATAATTGCCCAATCAAAACAAACACATCAAGATCACCGTCTTCATTGCGATGTTAATTCGATTAGAGATGAATTCGTTTCCTCGCTCGTCCATTTGAAACCGAAAGAAAATTACAATCTAAAAAGAAATTTCTTTGTGAACAAATAATAAAACACAACAAAAACAAGAATGATCGTATTTATGGAAAAATAATGATACAGATAATCGAAGCGATCACGTTCATCAGTGTAATTCTTGACTTTTCGATTGCATTTATGTTCTGTCTGTGGTACCATAATTACCTAGTTAATTAGTTGTTAGCAGTGAATTTAACAAATTCATTCTACAATACCTTTCTAAAAACCACATTAAACATAAGCAACTGAAATTATTTCCGCGTTAGCCTCGTTATCTTCAATGCTTAGAGTTGTCTCAGCAGGTCTCTGCCCCGTATTATCCGAATCGTAGCTTAGGTCCTCCTGTGTTCCAACGCTTAGTAAAGATGATTCCGAATTCATTTTAAACATTTTTCCTTCGTAATAGTCCTTAGCCGATACCTGGGGGGTAGGCACCGCTCGGGTGTTGTCAAACACTGAAAAATCGACCCTATATCTTCCTGACTTCCATCTGAACTCGTCTGTTGTGTTTACAAACTCGTGACCCCAGAGAATTTCATCCGAAGTGTAAGACGTCTTCGCTTGAACCAACATACTGGTAGCTTCTACAGTTCCTTCCAGAAGCACAACTATTTCAAAATCGCAGTTGAGCAAATCTTTGGGGTGCGTTTCATAAAGGGGGCTGTTCTCATCGATAACGTGCACCATGGTGAGGGGCAATATTAGAAATATTGCACTGTCCTCTGCCAGACCGTCTTTACAAGACCAGTCCGTTCCCACGGGCAAATTCTGCTGATAAAACGGCAGTTCCATCCCTTCTCGAGTCTTCCTCTTTCGAAACAGATGCATTCTAACATGGGCTTCCAGAATTTGGCTTTTCCTTACGTCACCGACCCGAAACATTAGTCACATTTTGCCGTCACGCACCGCAACCACGGCGTTTCGAGAGAATAAAATTGTTTCCGCACGATTTCGCGGACGCGATAGCTTAGCGAAAATTAAACCTAGAATAAAGGCACCGATGATAAACCCGATCAGTGATTGCACATTCAATAAGATAACAGCTTCTGGGCACTTTGGAGTGATTTGTCGGCCCCCATAGCCAATGGTTGTTTGCGTCTCAAGCGAGAACAGGAACGCGCTAGTAAATGAATCAACATTATCGACACAGAAGTTGTCTCCACGTATGATCGTCACAAGCCACCATAAAAAGCCAAAAAGGAGCCAACTACCGCAATACATGAACGTGTAGACCACACAAATCCATCGCCATTTAGAGTCAATCATTGTAGTGAATAAATCTGAGAGATACATCCCATGTTTTTGTGGTACTTGTGAAGCGACAACTTTCAGCCTTCCATGTTTTCCCACTAACCGGCGCTTCTTGATGTCGTGTTTCGTCGATAGAATCCGCTTCATTCTACTCCTTTTGCCTTTAGCTTCCCATAATTTCTTCTTGTGAGTATGGCCTGTGCCATTAGGCTGTTCTATTTTAACTTCTTTAAGCTCATACTCATCCCCTTGGCCACCTTCTTCGGCGGTTTCGTTCATGTCTGAGTAGTCAGATGATGTTCTTGAATCTGAAGACTCCTCCACCCCTCGACGTTGCCAATGCCGTCTAACTTGATCTCTCGACCTGTCCGATGGAGAAGACATGGTTGAAAAAATTTACCAACCGCTCGCACAAACGGATAGTTCCATAAAAGGCATATCAAGTTATTAGTAAACTCTGTTTTGAGCAGTTCGTAACTTATTTCCAATATATACCATAACGGCGTTAGTTAACAACATGTGACATTAGTTGAGTGACAAAAGTAACCTAGTGGCACTTTTCCTGCTGTGCATGTGAATAGCATTGTTTTGATCAATATATCGCCTAATTATTGTGAACCAATTTTAACAGAAAGAAATTGTGAAGGTATGCAACGCGGACGTGACTTAAAACTCATTGAGTGTATGCTCCGGAAATTACGGCAATCATGATCTCGTCCAATAACCGCGACAAATTGGAAACAAAATAATTTGAAGTACTCTTCAAGTTTATACCTTACGCGCGAAGTCCCTCTTTCTCTTTGCTTTGCCCTGCGTGAAATTTAATTTTGTTTATCATTTAGTTCCCACTGAAGTTTGTGCATCACTATGCAGATAATACCGTTATTGTACGTGGCACTCACTTGGGATTTCATATAATGCTGTGATTTATATGCATTCAGCTGATATTTGCATTTGAACGCTTCTCCAAGACCTCAGAATGACCTTTGCAGTTTTAAACGATCTTAGAACAGTAAGGGTGTCACGTCGCGTACTATACTTCTCTGGTTGATGTGTAAACTAGCTTTGGTTTCCTGTAAAGTACCCTTGGCTTATACTATTTTGCGAAACGAAACGAAACGAAACGAAACGAAACGAAACAAAATTGTACTATTTTGCGAAACAAAACGAAACGAAATTTTGCGACATGCCGTTTTTTCGCCTTTATTTAGCAAATACGTCCTCTTCGTCCGAAACAAAATGTTTCCACTGATAAAATGATCAATATTTCTAAGAGCCTGGTCACCTCTCATTTTATTGACCAAAATAGAACTCGTTTCGCAAAGTAGTAATTTTGACAGAATTACTATTTTGCGAAATGGCGTTTTTTCGCCTTTATTTAGCAAATATGCGGAGCAGGAGCGA